ACCTGGTTCAAATATGTGGAAGGAGTCTGTTCCAGACTCCAGTTGTCTTCTGCCGAAGCTCAGACTCTGGACAGGATCGGAAACGTTGGAAGCTCTCTCTGACGCGTCTGCCTCCTCATCCAGGACAAGCGGTCGTGGAAATTGAGTTGAAACTGAATTGATTAGCAGACCCCTCCTTCAAACGCCTTTGCTCATTTCGTCGACGACATCTCGTAGAGTCGGTGAATCAACTAAGCCACGGACAGCCGACATCAACTCCACATCATTGGCATATTTCGCACATATGGCGGTGCCTGAGGGTTGAACGGAGATGCGACGGAATTTAAATGCAATGATACACCATGCAGCCTTGTGAAATGCAATGACTGTTCTGAATAATCGATTGGTAAAGTCTTCCAATAGACGGTAAGTATGTTCAAAACTTTCCTCGCGTGGTAACCATCCTCTACCGTAAACACGTAGATGAACTCGTGTATAACAGTGAAACCTCGCGTTGAGGAAGATTTGTTTGGAGATCCCTTTGCTGCCTCAATGAATGACTTTTAATATCAATCTGAAATGCCACATCTGATGATTGAACATAATAAAATTGGCCTATTCTCTTGTTTAAGCTCTGATAATTTGAGGTAATGGTGATTAACTTAAGAGAAACAACAACATTGATAGATGTGAAAATGATATGCTGATGGTGCGTTTGTTGTATTGTGAAGTACTGGAAGAGAAACGACTTAACTACAAGCAACTTAACACAGTCAGTCCATTGGGTGATAGAGCACTACTGACGTTTCTGCACGTGACTCACGGTTTTCTTAAAGATGCAGGGGTGATGATTTGTTGTGATTGTTGATACCGTCTATTGCAAACAGTTGTTTTTAAGCCAAACAACCATAGAGGTCACCATACAGATGACAAAAGCGTGAACCGAATACGATTAGCTTAACTTTGAAGAAAGCCCGTGTGATGCGGACCACAATGCAAGAACGTGCTTTAGTGTACAGTAAGATAGATTAATCAATGCTTAATTCAAATTTCATTAAAACCCTTTACTTTCAGCAGACAGATGTCATTTTCCATGGTGTATGGGTCGTATTTCGGGAAGACGTGTATCTCGGCGACGTCACGCACGGTGACACCGGGTTCACTGAAGTTGTACTTGTTAAATATTCCCAACGCGACCATGTATTTCCACGGGAATTGAACTCGAAAGAAGCAGTGTGCCGCCGTCAAAATCCATCGGTCATTGATCAGGCTGCCACCGCAAAATTGAAATGGCTGCGCCTGAAAGTGCTTGCGGTACAGGGCTACCTGCCATGGCCAGCTGTACGGTATGACCTCCTGGCCCCCGACGATTTTCGTTAACAGCGGCTGTATCGCTGGCAAGCCACAATTTGCCGCCACAGACGCGACTAATCCTAAACGAAGGCAATATGAGCATTGCGTACATTTCAGTTTAGACGGTACGCAACTGTACCGAAATCGTTTGTCTTCCACTCACCGCCCCCGCCTTCCCCGCGGCGTAACCAACCCAACTCGTAAGATCAAAGTAGGCCTTTCAACGTTACATAGCAGATGAATGAGTACCGCCACGTGAAAATGAAGCATAACAATAAGTGTAATCGCCATCCAAATTCTGTTTTCAAAAATTTGACACTCTTTACCGGTGACGAGGTAGCAAAGCTCCTGCCAGACCACAACCTCCGCAGGAAACTGCTGCAGCAAATGGAATCTATCGTGCAAGTGTAAAGAAGACTTAAGAATCCAAGATCGTAAGCCTTCCTTCCCAACTGTTTGTGATACAAAGCCTATGTCACAGGGTACGTTTGGACAGCATTTTCTACTTCTCGCCTTGTGAATAATGGTTCAGCGTTCAATTATATTTTTAATCATGGTTTAGAAAAGTACATGTTACGAACGATTTTAAAATTCATTTTATTTTCAGCTTCTTTCAACGCTGTGCATCATATAGTTATTACAAGGTAGTGACCGCCAAGCAATCATCATTTACCAATTGGTCTTGATGGAGTCACAATATGTTTGGTATGTTCTAATGTATGAACAACTAATGAAGTTAATGCAATTGCATATAAGGAATGCTAGCTGCTGGAGCATCATTCATGGTGCGCATGAGTTAAATCCAGGGGACAAAGTGATGCTCAAATACCATGGAACCGTGGCTTAGAAAAATGACGACTAGAAGCGAGGAGATGGTGCAATGCGCCGTGAAAACTGCACTGCACTTGGAGAAGTGGCTCATTAGCAACTACCATAGGTAATATATTTAATGAAAGTTGGTAGTTGACAAGTGAAGTTCCATCCCATTTTCTGGGTCTGTAATTGATCAAGCGAAAAATTTTTTCTGCACGGCTTCGATGGTTCTCCTGCTATAATG